CTAGCTGAAACCGCTTCATTTCTTCATAGAACTCTGCACTACCTGAAATTAATCTTATGTATTTTCTGATTTTATTGTCTGATCCACCCTCTGTGAGTTGCCTGAAAGCAGAGACCATGTCTGTCTAGCACAAAATAGATGGCCTTTTTTGTGAATTACTTCGTGAATCCAGTAGAATTACTTTCCTGGACTTCTATTTTCCTCCATATAACCACCCTCTTGCTCAGCCCTATAACCTGAAAAAAGATAAATATTTAAAGAAAACTTAACTTGGACCATAGCCTCCTGCTGGCCTCCCTGCTGTCTGTTTTCTTTGTCATCCAGTTCATCTTTCATCCTGCCTGCTACATAATTATCCTGAATCAGTTCTTACCTTGCCAATTACTTCTTCAAAATTCAGTAACTACCCATTGGCTACAAATAATTAGGTACAAATACCTTATCTACGCATTCACTACTCTTCCTCTGGCTCCACCCTACCTTTTAAAAATTATTAAATTCCCTCTTTTAACCATTTATTTTGAAATAATTATAGAAACAGTCGGCTGCAAAGAAATGTACAGGAATTCTCATGTACCCTTCCCCCAGGCCCTCCTCGGTGATTTTGTTAACATCTTACACAGCTCTTGTACAGTATCAAAACCAAAAAGCGGGTACAATCCATAAAGCTTATCCAGATTGCACCAGTTATACATATACCTGTGTACATGTAAATAAACATGCTCGTGCATGTGCACATGCACACAAGCATGCACGCTCACTTGTATAGCTCCATGCAATTGTATCATATGTGTAGTCTTAGGTAATCACCATCATAATCAAGATACTCAACCATCACCACAGAACTCCCTGTTACCCCTTTATACACATCCCCCCATTCCTACACCTGGCTTCTGCTTATCTGTTTGTCATCTCTATAATTATTTCATGAATGTTATATAAATACAATTCTTTATTTTTATTGATTACTATTCCAGTTTGGATGTAGCAGTTTATTTAACCACTCATCCACTAAAGGATATTCAGGTTGTTTCCAGTTTGAGGCTAATATGAATAAAATTGCTGTGAACATTTATGTACAAGTTCCTATGTGAAAATAAGCCTTAATTTTTCTAGGATGAATTCCCAAGAGTGTACTGCCAGCATCTTACTTTTGTAGCCTCATTTTCCCAAAACTCCATTCCTGGTCCCATAGTAGAGTCAAATAGGACTACTTGTACTGTTTTCTCTTCCTCACTGGTTTCTAATCCTCTCAACATCATTTGCATGTTTATTATTAAAATCTGCCTGGAATCACTTTCTGAAAGTGAAAAAAGAAATATACTAGTAGAGAGAGAATAGAGATGAATGAATGGAGGGAAAAAATAACTGAGAAATGTTATTTTATCAATCCTGTACCAATAAAACGTGACCTCTTTTCTAAAGACCTGAATCTTATTTGCTAAACTTCTCTTATAAAATGTGTTCTTCCACAGTCTCATAGATGCACCTATGTCCAATACCTCCATTAAAACAATAAACTCCCTGGAGACAGATCATTTCTTATTAATTTTATATTCACTCAGACACCAAGCACAGAGTTTGTTAGAGCCAGAGCCCAAGCAAAACAGAATCTTCACTGTTGAAAGAATGGATGGATTAAATATTGTTGCCCTTAGAGGGCTCCAGTCTAACCAGGAAACCAAGACATTGTATTTGCATTTAAAAAAGATAACTTATAATACAAGTCTATATGGACTAAGTGCCAAAGGATTGTAAAAGCAAGAAATACTGCAGAGTGTAGACATGCAATCCTTTCTAAGACAGTTGTGGGGATGCATCCTAAAGAAAGCTACGTTTGAGGGACAGAGTGAACAGATGAGTAGAACCCAAAATAAAGGAGAAAAGGGAGACTGTTTTGGTAACTATTATTTAAAGAACATCATATGGGTTGATCTCATTCTTTGTAGCTGCTGAATATTCCATAGTATAGATGTGCCCAAATTTTTAAACCATTCTTCTAATAATGGACATTTAGGTATGCATCAGTTAGGATGAAGTCTGGATCAATGTTACAGACAACCCAAATAAGGGTGTTGTAAACACAAGGTACTTTCTCTCTTGTATGAAAGTGTTGTAAACACAAGGTACTGTCTCTCTTGTATGAAAGAAGCCCACAGATAGACAATTCAGGGTGGGTATAAGGATTCCATGGTCTTCAGACATCACACTCCATGTTCAGCTCCACCTTCCTACCACATGGCTTCTTTTTTCCAAGGTTGCCTCATGAGCTTAGCTGTAACACATCTTGTTATAGATGACTGGAAGGAGAGGAAAAGCAAAATGGACTATCTCCCCACTAAGTCAGCTCTCTTTATGCAGCCTTCCAGAAGTTTCATACAATACTTTCAGTTCTATCTCACTGGCTAGAATTTAGTTATGTGACCATGCCTAGCTGCAAGGGAAGCTGAAAAATGTGGTCAGCATGAGTACATTGGTGTCTCAAACAAAATTTAAGATGCTGTAACTAAAAAAGGATAATGGATACTGGGTAAGAGAACAAAACTGAAATCTTGCCCTGCTGTTGAGTAAGCACATACATCATTTTCTAATGTCAAGAAAAAGACATTAGACCCTGAAATAAACAAACAAGCAAAACAACAACAAAAACATAGCTGATTCAAAAGAAATTGTAAGTTGGTTTGTGTAAATTACTGACTCCCTAACAAAAAAAAAAAAATTCCCTTAAGTTTGCAATATTCCTATGATAATCATGTCTGAGTTTCCACTACAAACGGACACTGTAACCTCATAACCCTGTGGGTTTTTATTTTAAATACCTATTGTATATTTTTAATCAGCAAACTAGTCCTGAATTTAGACTCCCTTGCAGAACTTCCAAGTAAATTATTTTTCTTTTCTTAAACTGTTTTTTCTAATGTTTCATGCCTCTAAATCTTCCTTTCACAAGTCTCATCCACAAGATTATTCTAATTTTTCACTATTATAAACCATGCTGCAGTAAACAACTTATAAATGCCTCCATGTACACAGTGACAATTTTCAAGCAGATATCTAAAAAAGGACTTGATAGAACAAATGATATGCATATTCTACCAAATTGCAATCCAAAAGCTATACAGTTTATATTACTACCATTTTTCTACGTGCATCTCTGATTTCCCCCACATCACCAACATATGAAATTATCACTTTTTATTTTTAGCAAATCTCTGGGCAATAAAAATCTCACTTCAACTTACATTTCCCTAATTGCTATTTAATTAGTATTACAGCCTGTCTAGGTTGAATATCTTTATTATGTTTATCAGCCACTTGTATTGATTATTCTTTGGTTATCTTCTGCCCATTTGGATTGTCTTCTTCCTGATTCACAGCAGTTCTTTATATATTCTGGGTATTAATCTTTTTTTATACATACTGTTACAATATTGCTCCAATCTGTCACTTTTTACTTTGTTTATGGTATCATCTGTTTTATAAAGTATTAAACTTTGATGTAGTCATGTTTATCTGTCACTTTTCTGATATCCAGGGTGTGGTCTTGTTTGGAAAGACCTTTGCACCCTAAAATTGTAAACATATTGTCTCCTAATACTTATAGGGTTTGCTTGTTATATTTAAACTACATAGAATTTATTTTTATTTATGAGATATGAGGTATGACTTTCTCTGTTTTGCTGAAAGGATAATCCATTGTCCCAACACTAAGTACTGAATAATCTATTCACTTGCCTACTTTGAAATGTTGTCTTTATGATACGTTAAATTATCACACAGAATTAAGACTATTTCTGGACTTTACTTTTCTGTTCTACAGATCCATCTGTCCATTTGTACACCAATATGACAAAGTTTTAATTACCAAAGTTCTATAGTATGTTATCTAGTAAATCAGTCTCCTCCCTATTATAGCTTAAGTAAAAAAAAAAGTTGGCTTTCTCATAAATTTTCTCTTCCAGATGACTTTAAAACTCAACTAAATTCCATTTAAAACTCCTATGCAGATTTTTTATCAAGACTGTCTCCGATTTTTAGATTAGAAATTTCTTGTTTTTAAGAGCACTTGCATGTTTTCAAAATTAATTCACCACTACGTACTATAGGCTGAATTCTGCATGAACTTCAAAGGATTTCAAGACAGTGCTTGCCCTATAGAAATACATTACCTGACGGGAGAAAAAAGATATAAACAATAGTGCATTAAATGACAAATATCTATATAACTAAACTGTGGCTCACATATGGTCATTATAGCATGCATTTGGAGGCTTATTTTTGCCTCTGATTTTACTTGTTTTTGCTTTTTCTTTGGCACTACATTTTTTTTTTCATTGCAAACATCTGACAACATAGTATTTCTGTACCTAATCCGTTTTTTTAACAGTCACCCTAAGTAAGAAGTTCTATTATCATTCACACTTACAGGTAAGAAAACTGAAGCTCAAGGAAGTCAAATAACTCCCCCAATATCGCAAAGCAAGTAGGCGGGGACAGCTTAGATCTGAAACCAGGTTTTTCTGACTTTAGTCATCCTAGTGCCTTTCCTTCCTTCCCCCTTTCAAGTTCCTGCTACTTTATCAAATACAAAAATTATCCCTGAAATAAGAATAGGGAATGAATACATGAGTAACATCCAGCTTTGTTTCCTGTTTCATCCTCTCTACACATGCCCGGTGAATGATAAAATCCCATGTGGGGAATGAGGCCATGTTCCCTCCTGCCGCTGTCCCAGTTTGACCTGTCAGAGTTCCTCTCCTTCCTTTCCCTTAACAGAATCCACTACATAACTTACAGGACCCTATGCAAAACGAAAATGTAGGGCCCCTCGTTTAAAAATTTGTAATTTTAAGAGATAAGAACAGACCGTTGAAAGAAGGGCAGGGCCCTTGCAGGAGCAGGCACGCGGGACGGGGCGGGCTCAGCCACACGGACCTGCGCCCACAAAGCAGGCCTGGGCTGAGGTTCTCTTTAGTCCAACCCCCATCTCTGGTTTGCAGATTCACAGCCCTGCTCTGATGAAGAAGGCTGCTCAGAAGTCTTCCTCCCCACCGACAGCGACTATGACTCCAGTGACGCCCTGAGCCCCCGAGACCTGGACTTGGTCTACCTGTCCTCGCATGACATCGCGCAGCAAGCGCTAAGCGGCCTAAGCGGCAGTGCGCCCGATGTCCTGCAGGTGCACGACATGAAGGCTCCGTCGGGGCCGGGCCAGGACCCCCAGGGGCGGGTCCCGGGGACGGAGCCCGAGCACTCGTGCGCCGAGTTCCTCCACAGCCTGACCCTCACAGGCTTCGCGCCCAAGAGCCACGCCAAGATGGCGCCGGGCACGCGGCCGCCGCTGGGCTTCCTGGGAAAGCGGAAGCCAACCAAGCACCAGCACTACGGCGGCTTCAGCCGCCACCACCGCTGGCTGCGCATGCACAGCGAGACGCAGTCGCTGTCCCTGTCCGAGGGCGTTTATACGCAGCACCTGACTCGGTCCTGCGGCCCAGACCAAGAGCCCAAGGAGGCCGAGCAGCTCGGAAGTGCCTCCGAGGGTTCCCGGGGCCTGACTCTGGCCCACTCGGCGAGCCTCCCTGAGGAGCGGAAGAGCGGCCCCCAGGACCCGAGACCTTCCGTCCGCCGCATCTACGTGGAGCCCTACCCGGCAGCCCTCGTGGCAGGAAAGCCCTGGGCCGGCGTGAGCACGCCCCCTGGAGGCCGCTCGGGCCTGCCCAGCCCCGGCCGCCCGGAGATGAGCCCGGAGGGCCCGCCCACGTCGCCGGGGTCAGAAATACTCAGCAGCATGCTTTAGGGAGGCCCGCAAGTGGCTGTCCACACGCCCCCGCATTTTCCATCACCCTATCCCAGCCTGCCCCCACAGTGGCCCCATCCACTCTCAAATGGTTTGAATGTTAAAAATCCAAAGGTTGCAGGTTCAAAGCCCTCTATTTTAGGGTAGACTTGGGCTGGAGGCGAGAGTTGCCAGTGTCATTCCCATTTCAGCCTACAAAGGATATAGAGGAGCTTTTGTGTCAACATGGAATCCTAGACACAGTGGTTCAAACATTGCCACCCTGTTGGTCACACCTGTGGCTGAGGCAGGACAACCCAAAGAGCCACACTCAGTTCTGCACGGCTCTTTCATGAATCTGTGATCAGTGGGGGAGGAGATGCCCATTGTTTTTCCCTCCATCCCAAACCTTTACAGAGTTTGGGGGAAAGAAATTCAGTTGGTGTGTTTAGGGCACAGGGTCAAGTAGACTTGGCCTGGGTTCCCTGTCAGCTAAACCAAGTCATTCCAAGTGCAGGGTTCTCAGCCGCTTGTCAAATCCAACTTATCCATCAGCACTGATTTGATTTAAGCAGGCCTTGGACAGGACTTTTCTTCAGTTAGTGCTGTGTGGAAACCACCAGAAACTAAAACAGAGGATGCTTCTACCGTAGTTCTGTCCTGCAAAAATAGAACAGGGCAGGAAGCAGACCTTCCTGCACACTCATCCAACATTTGAGCATGAAAATGGGCTGTATATTGATTGTTCAAGGGTGCAAGGAGATGGCTGAATTAAGTGGAAGCCTGGGTTATAAAGAAGACAAGGGAAGGGAGAGAGACATAAGCAAAAATGTATTTCTTAAAATAGGTAAGTCCCTGGGGCTGTGCCTCTGAAAATGGTAGTGGACCTGCTCCAGATTCTTAAATGATGAAATTATCATTGAACAAGAAAAGTGCCCAGCAGATATGGCCAGGCAGTGATGGAGTCCTTACAGCCACACAGGCACATCTGCCCACCCCCACATCACACATCACAGAACAGACTGGCGAGGGCTTGGGCTGCTGTCTTCCCCTTTCCAGTCCATCCATTCCAAAGTTAGTTTTGCCCCAAAATCAGCTGGCCCATTGGCCTCGGGAAAATCCTTCCTTAGAAGGCCCTGCCAGTGGTTCCAAGGCTGCCCTCGAAGACATTTGAAAATACTGCTTTGGTCTCATTACCTCCCACCTGCCCCTCTCACAAATGAGAAACCCAAATCAAAGAGAAATCACGCTGCATATTTAAAAAAGGCATGGGCAGTCTCTCATTTCCGGAAACCAAGACCCATTCATTTCACTGATACTCTAAATGGTCCTTTTCTGCTTCCCAGGCATTTTGATTAAATACTGCTCTTTATGCCCAACCTACCCCTGTCCTCACAGTTCTTCCATTCCCCCTCATCGGAGTTCATACAAAGTACCCTGTTCACAATGTTATTTTGATCCCTTTCATTTTGAAAACATTTGATTTAAACATAAATAATTACCCTAATGTAAAGGTACAGATTTGGCCCATGGCCTATGGTCCTTAGAAAACTAAAGCCCAGAGATTTTATACTCAATGAACCCAAAAAAATCTTGATCAGAGTCACTGCAGCTCCTTTCCCATGCCTGGAAGGATTTTTAAATGCAGTTTTCTTCTGCTCTGAGTGAACTCTATGTGTATGGAGCATTAGAGCTAGATGGGACCATAAAATTGGTCTAAATCCTTGCATTTATAGATGAGGCAATTAAAGCCCAGAGAGGTAAGTGACTTGCTTAAGGTCACAGAGCTATGTTAGTCTCAGAGTTAGGGTCAGAACCCAGAAACATTCCCTTTATAACAGGCTGTCCCATTGGGAACTGGTACAAACCTAGTCAACTCTTGATTGTCCATAGGCTACTTACCGAGTTCGTAGATCATCTATCTCTTCTAATTCCCAATTCAACTCCTTTTTTCAACCTTTACCTAACAGATTTCCATTAGCACAGAGCTCCTTGTTGCCAGGAAATGCAAATTTCATATAATAGACATCTACACTGATGAATTAAAAAGCAAATTTGGGAGACATGCCATTTAAAATTACATGCTGTATGATTCCCCTTTAATAACAAAAGTGAGAGTCATCTGTACTCAGTTTCTACTTATTTCTAATCATAAGACATTATATGTGTTGAATTGAGTTTGTGAGATAGGCTGCTGGATTTGTCAAAAACTAAGAAACCAAGTGATTCTCTGATCATGACCTTTCTGGTGGCATGAAAGGAAGTTAGTGACTATGAATTAGATGGGAGGTATTGGACAGGCAGCAGAAGCAGAGACTGGCCTACCCTCTATTTGGTCAGCAAGTTCTGGCACACTCGACCAAATAATGACTCATAAAGTAAAACTGCATTAAATCCAAACCCACTGATTTATAGTAAGGACACGGGGTTATTTTTTCACCTGTAAGGAAAAGAAATGCATGCCTATGTAATACATAATGCACACTAGATTTCATTGGGCATACTTAATCAGCTTGAAAATGCATTTTTCTAGGAATATTTCTATATAAAAAGTGGATGTTATATCCTTAAAATTTAGCTGTTTGATCAAATATATTCCCTTGACCTATACCTGCACTTTAAACATCTTGTGAACCTAGTTTAAATTAACAGATTCTTATGAGAGACAACTGTATTCTCTAATTCACAGTCCTTTACTCATTTACACTGCCTTTTCATCATAGGGCCTTTACAATGTCTGAGGATTTGTGGCAGTTTTTTGTCTTATTTATTTGATTTTGTTTCACTTTGGATATGATGGACTTTGTCTTTCATTCTTTTTAAATTCAACCTGGGAGCCTCTGGAGGAAACTCTCTGTCCCAGGTCTTCTTTTCCACAGTTTTTCTAACATGCTTAACTCTCACCCACATTATCCAGTTCTGTCATTTGCGAAAGCCTTCAAAAAATCATTAGCTGAGACCATCCCGTAAGTCTGTCTTTATTCTAAGTCCCACAGAGAACAACAAAATCAAGTATGAAACACATTCCCAGGCCACAAGGAGCTTACAATCTGATATAAGTATAGCTATCATCACCATACGTCTTCTTATCAATGGCTTAGAAGAGGCAGGAGCCTATCTCCTCAGCCAAGCCAACACAGTGTTTGTTGGGCTAGACATCTTTGATTTTACTCTTGCCGTCAATTCATAAGGGAGGACAGCCTGGAAAATGAAGTCACCAAGGTATATGCTTGCCAACCACTTACAAGGCTATCACATCCTCTTAATTGACAAGGGTACATGGGAGACAGTATTTAAAAGCATTCACTCTAAGGAATGGGTATTTTAAGAAGTGAGCACTTAAAGATGAGACTCATTCCATTTTAAGTACATTCACAAATGCTCAAAGCAATAATTACACTGGAGAAAATGGTTCCATTTGGTTTAATATTCCTCCAGGCCCTATTTCTAAAGGATCCCATAGCACTTTATGAAAAGGAATGACTGAAGCCTTGTTGTACTCCCCTAAAAAGACCTTGTTCAGGAGCCACCTGGCAAACCCCTACCCCATCTTTGCCAGGAGATCATGCCAGACAAGTGGAAAAGAGGACTGGCCTCTCATACATTGTTATCCTGTCACATGAACATGCACCCTGGTGAGTGCTACGCTCTTCCCTTGGAGATAACAATTTGAAACAGAAGACATACCAGAAAATCCCAACTCCTTGGCCTCCCCTTGTTCTTCACACACCACCTGAGATGTACTCACCTTCTCTTGGAGAACTATCAACCCAAGCTGTTCAAAGGTCTGCAGTGCATTTAGGTTCCCTGCTTAGGTCAACAGCATACAGAATTTACTGGCTTCTTAAAACTGATTCTTGTTGGGAAGATGACACCATTATTATGCAGCTCTCTCAACTTTGGATGTAGCAGAGCTACCACAGAGAATATACATCTCTCCGTATATTTGCTTATTAAACTATAACCTACCAACTAGAGAGGGTAGTTATAGATTAGTAAGAGAACACTCGCAGAGAATTAAAAGTGTTACATTGTCCCTTTATAAAGTCTCAATATTTTTCCAGATGATTCCATGAAGCAAATCTGGATTTTTTTTCCCTGGTCATACCTTTAGGGAAATTTTTAAAGGAGCTATTTGGAAAGCAATGATACCTCTTCACAGGTAGGAGAGTGAACAAGGGAAAATCTTGTTTCTTTGCTGGTCACCTCTCATAAGATGTTCAAACACATGGCTCATGACTGTTAAGCTAAACTTCAATGCGGCCTTACAAACAACAAGGGTAGTGTATTTGAAACTATGTTGTACAGCGTGGAAACTTATTCTAAGATCTTAATTCAGAGTTTTTCTGAGGTGTTGAACTTTGCCATTAGCAAAAAGTATTTTTAGAAAAATCCATTGACTGTTTATGAAGCACTGATTTTGCCATATTTTGGGTCTCTGGTTTTTCCACCACATCTGCACACCAAAGTTATATTTGTGTTTTTTTTATTATTTCTTCTATTTCCATTAATAATGAATTTGTAAAATGGTTATTCAAAAGGACAGTTGGTTTTGTTTAACAATCAGGTAGACTGTGAAAACATTCTATTTTGCTAAAGGAAGTAGGATATTTGTTGTTGTTTTAAATATTATCCAAGAGTCTTTCCCCTCCAAATATATACATTTTTTATTTTAGCAAAAGCCAATATTTAACTTAGTAACATATGTTATGAAGCTATTAGTTAATGCTCTCTGGTCCTCTTCATTCAGTCCATGACATGAAAGTCTAAATATGTTTTCACAGTAACCACCAGCCAGTAGCTGATTTATAAAAACCAAGTCTGGCTAATCGTTGCATTAAGTCACTCTGAGTTGCTGCATTGCTTTTTGCCCTATAACAAACCAGATGTTTGGGGATATTCCATGTATGTGGTAACAAGCATTGGTTTAACATTTGTGATGGAAAAAGAATTAAAGATGTGTGTGCATGTATGTGTGTGTGCATGCCCATGTGTGTGTGTGTGTGTGTGTGTGTGTGTGTGTGTGTAATGGAAGAGGGGTGTTTCATAGAAAAAGTGACTTAAATGACTTTCTATTAGGCAGTGTTTAATTGCTTCCTGCCTAACATGTATATAGTAATGACTGATTATTGGTTTTTATTTGTTCAGAATTTATTGTACCTTGTTGCTATGTATGCAACTGAGTGTATGTAAAAGTTTAGACTTCAGTACATTATTTGCACAATTTTGCGTGCTTTAAACCTCTGTAAATGTACAGATGAATCATGTATGGTGTGTTAAATGTGACTTCTACTCTTAAAACAATAATATTTTGTAGTATGTACTTTTACAGTCTATTTGAACATTTTAAATGGATATTGTACATGGCCAGTACTCTCAATCAAAAATAACACTGGTAAAATGCATGCCTCTTCAACTTATCAATTTATAAGAGGTCAGGAGTTAACCAGAATTAAAATTTTTCTAATGGCAAGTATTTTTGATAATTTCCTACCTGCTTAATAGTATTTAAAAGGAAAATTGTCAACAGAAGAAATCTTAGCTATCAGAGGGAATGATTTTGTTTTATAAGCATTAAATAATACAAATATATTTCATATCTAACGATGTTGAAATCTAGTTCAAGGTGAAGAATCAAAAAATTATTTTGATTCTTTGTAAGATCGTTTGCTGTTTAAAGGACAATTTCTAAGCCCTTGGTCTTCGGTGTGGAGAAATGTCAACTAAATAATAAACTAATTAGAATTGTCAGTCCTTGGCTTACCTGATGGTTTTTCCAAGTCTCCGTGAAGACTAATATTTTTCAGCCTGAACTTTTTAAATCTTCTTACCAAAATTTTGGAAAAGTTATTATTTGGGGCATTGTTTTGTCAATTATCAGAAAAGTCTGACCCTTGATTGAACAATAGCATTTGGGTTATTTCTCTACATAATTGATTATCACCAAGTATTAAAAATACCACAGCAGGGTGCCATGGCAAGAACTCTCACCAAATTGCACCCAGGAGCATGGATATCTTCACCTTGCTCCTTCCTCCACTGTGTGCATGTTTAAATGTCTTTAGTGCATTTCTGCATGTGGTGTCCTATCTCTATTCTTTAACCCTTTACTTCCACACCCACAAAGCTCCTCCCTTACCCCTACTCCCTCTGGCTGAGATTGGAGATTTCTTCTGCATTTGAGAACAGTACTGACAGATTACTTCAGTCCCAGGAACCTGCACAAAGGTTCTCCCGGATTCCTAAAGACAGGAAATATGCTGCTTTGGACCATGTACTTGTCTTATGCTGTCTTACAGAATTCTTTTACACACACACACACACACACACACACACACACATTCAACTCTTCACTGGCATGTTTGTGGTCGGCTTCCCTGACAGCCTCAGAAGGCTGTTTTGTTGTCTCGGCCAAATGTGCTGTTTTCCCTATGTCAATTGTCATCTTTCTAAGCAAACCATTACTTTCTTTTCCTAATTCTGTCTTTAAATAAAAGTTTACCTTCTTTTTCAAACCAAACAGATGGCATTGCTCTTTAATATCCCCTTTCTTCTATGAATGCTCCTGGGGAGGTATTGGGGGAGGGACAGAATGGGAAAGAGAGTAAGAAGAGGCCTTTCAAATTCTAGCTGCTAAGTAAAAAGTAAGCCTTCGTTGAATGCTCAGCCTTTTGATAAGGTATACCAAGAAATACCCAGTATCTCCATCTGTCAATGAGAAATAAGTCCTTCGCCCCCATAATAATAATTTTAAAAATCATGTTAGGGAGTTAGACAAGTTTAAACCAGGAGTTTCTTATCAATTTACAGGGGCTACCAGGCATAACCTACCAACTAGAGAGGGTAGTTATAGATTAGTAAGAGAACACTCGCAGAGAATTAAAAGTGTTACATTGTCCCTTTATAAAGTCTCAATATTTTTCCAGATGATTCCATGAAGCAAATCTGGATTTTTTTTCCCTGGTCATACCTTTAGGGAAATTTTTAAAGGAGCTATTTGGAAAGCAATGATACCTCTTCACAGGTAGGAGAGTGAACAAGGGAAAATCTTGTTTCTTTGCTGGTCACCTCTCATAAGATGTTCAAACACATGGCTCATGACTGTTAAGCTAAACTTCAATGCGGCCTTACAAACAACAAGGGTAGTGTATTTGAAACTATGTTGTACAGCGTGGAAACTTATTCTAAGATCTTAATTCAGAGTTTTTCTGAGGTGTTGAACTTTGCCATTAGCAAAAAGTATTTTTAGAAAAATCCATTGACTGTTTATGAAGCACTGATTTTGCCATATTTTGGGTCTCTGGTTTTTCCACCACATCTGCACACCAAAGTTATATTTGTGTTTTTTTTATTATTTCTTCTATTTCCATTAATAATGAATTTGTAAAATGGTTATTCAAAAGGACAGTTGGTTTTGTTTAACAATCAGGTAGACTGTGAAAACATTCTATTTTGCTAAAGGAAGTAGGATATTTGTTGTTGTTTTAAATATTATCCAAGAGTCTTTCCCCTCCAAATATATACATTTTTTATTTTAGCAAAAGCCAATATTTAACTTAGTAACATATGTTATGAAGCTATTAGTTAATGCTCTCTGGTCCTCTTCATTCAGTCCATGACATGAAAGTCTAAATATGTTTTCACAGTAACCACCAGCCAGTAGCTGATTTATAAAAACCAAGTCTGGCTAATCGTTGCATTAAGTCACTCTGAGTTGCTGCATTGCTTTTTGCCCTATAACAAACCAGATGTTTGGGGATATTCCATGTATGTGGTAACAAGCATTGGTTTAACATTTGTGATGGAAAAAGAATTAAAGATGTGTGTGCATGTATGTGTGTGTGCATGCCCATGTGTGTGTGTGTGTGTGTGTGTGTGTGTGTGTGTGTAATGGAAGAGGGGTGTTTCATAGAAAAAGTGACTTAAATGACTTTCTATTAGGCAGTGTTTAATTGCTTCCTGCCTAACATGTATATAGTAATGACTGATTATTGGTTTTTATTTGTTCAGAATTTATTGTACCTTGTTGCTATGTATGCAACTGAGTGTATGTAAAAGTTTAGACTTCAGTACATTATTTGCACAATTTTGCGTGCTTTAAACCTCTGTAAATGTACAGATGAATCATGTATGGTGTGTTAAATGTGACTTCTGCTCTTAAAACAATAATATTTTGTAGTATGTACTTTTACAGTCTATTTGAACATTTTAAATGGATATTGTACATGGCCAGTACTCTCAATCAAAAATAACACTGGTAAAATGCATGCCTCTTCAACTTATCAATTTATAAGAGGTCAGGAGTTAACCAGAATTAAAATTTTTCTAATGGCAAGTATTTTTGATAATTTCCTACCTGCTTAATAGTATTTAAAAGGAAAATTGTCAACAGAAGAAATCTTAGCTATCAGAGGGAATGATTTTGTTTTATAAGCATTAAATAATACAAATATATTTCATATCTAACGATGTTGAAATCTAGTTCAAGGTGAAGAATCAAAAAATTATTTTGATTCTTTGTAAGATCGTTTGCTGTTTAAAGGACAATTTCTAAGCCCTTGGTCTTCGGTGTGGAGAAATGTCAACTAAATAATAAACTAATTAGAATTGTCAGTCCTTGGCTTACCTGATGGTTTTTCCAAGTCTCCGTGAAGACTAATATTTTTCAGCCTGAACTTTTTAAATCTTCTTACCAAAATTTTGGAAAAGTTATTATTTGGGGCATTGTTTTGTCAATTATCAGAAAAGTCTGACCCTTGATTGAACAATAGCATTTGGGTTATTTCTCTACATAATTGATTATCACCAAGTATTAAAAATACCACAGCAGGGTGCCATGGCAAGAACTCTCACCAAATTGCACCCAGGAGCATGGATATCTTCACCTTGCTCCTTCCTCCACTGTGTGCATGTTTAAATGTCTTTAGTGCATTTCTGCATGTGGTGTCCTATCTCTATTCTTTAACCCTTTACTTCCACACCCACAAAGCTCCTCCCTTACCCCTACTCCCTCTGGCTGAGATTGGAGATTTCTTCTGCATTTGAGAACAGTACTGACAGATTACTTCAGTCCCAGGAACCTGCACAAAGGTTCTCCCGGATTCCTAAAGACAGGAAATATGCTGCTTTGGACCATGTACTTGTCTTATGCTGTCTTACAGAATTCTTTTACACACACACACACACACACACACACACATACATTCAACTCTTTACTGGCATGTTTGTGGTCGGCTTCCCTGACAGCCTCAGAAGGCTGTTTTGTTGTCTCGGCCAAATGTGCTGTTTTCCCTATGTCAATTGTCATCTTTCTAAGCAAACCATTACTTTCTTTTCCTAATTCTGTCTTTAAATAAAAGTTTACCTTCTTTTTCAAACCAAACAGATGGCATTGCTCTTTAATATCCCCTTTCTTCTATGAATGCTCCTGGGGAGGTATTGGGGGAGGGACAGAATGGGAAAGAGAGTAAGAAGAGGCCTTTCAAATTCTAGCTGCTAAGTAAAAAGTAAGCCTTCGTTGAATGCTCAGCCTTTTGATAAGGTATACCAAGAAATACCCAGTATCTCCATCTGTCAATGAGAAATAAGTCCTTCGCCCCCATAATAATAATTTTAAAAATCATGTTAGGGAGTTAGACAAGTTTAAACCAGGAGTTTCTTATCAATTTACAGGGGCTACCAGGCAGCGGGGAAAAACTTATAAGGAAATTCTCCTGCCCAATATTACCTGTCATGGGAGTTAGATCTTTACAGTGATTTCTTGACTCTGAAAATGCATTTCCTCTTCAGATAGCATATGGCATTCTCACATTTGCATAACATTCCTTGTTCTGTCAATAACAGCAATAATAATGCTCTTTGTTCAGTCATAATGCCTGTTTTATCAAGCATTGCACTGTTACAGGCCACAAAGGGACTGGTATCAGATACAGACTAGAGGAAGTAGGCAACAGGTGGACACTAGACTAGATTAGATGCTCTAAGTCAAACCAACTGTCTCATTTTTTTAG